GAGGGGCACCCAGAAGCTATGGGGGCTCAGGTGGGGGGGGGTGGCGCACAGGAGTTTGGGTGAGCCAAGCGACCTCTCTGGGGCTTGGGTCGGGCATGGTGCATGGGAGTTTGGGTGAGCTGTGCAACCTCTCGGGGGCTTGGAATGGGTGGTCGAGGGGGCACGTAGGAGCTGCAGAGCAGAGCCCCGGGTGGGGGAGAGAGGTGTGAGTGAGGGGCAGAGGGGTGTGTGTGGGAGCTGCAGAGCACCACAGGGGCTTGGGTATGGGGAGGAGGTACGCGTGACGTGTGGTGTCCAGCTAGAGAGGAGGGGTGTGGGAGCCATGCGGCCTTGCTCATTGCAGGGGGTGGGGAGGCAGAGCCATGTGTCCTCCCCACTCCCTGTGAGAAGGAGAGAGAGAGAGAGCCAGGCCAGCCACAATCTTGGTCTGGCCCAACACTCCCTGGTGGCTGGAGGGAGGGAGCTGGGCCAACCTTGGTCTGGTCCAACTCCCCCAGCAACCAGAAGGGAGGGAGCCAGCCCAGCCAGAGCCTCTGTCTGGCCACCCCTCCACCTCTGGTGGCAGGAGGGAGAGAGGTGGTCCAGACTTGGTCCAGCCCAACATCCACTCCCTCCCCCCAATGGATGGAGGGGGAGAGCTGGACCAGCTGCAGCATTGGTCTGGCCCAAGCCTAGCAGCCAGAGGGAGGGAACCAGGCCAGACACAGCCTTGGTCCAGCCAACCTCTTCCCCCCACCCCAGTGGCCAGAACAGGGAGAATTGGGGCAGGCCAGGATTGCCACGTCTTGGTCTGTCCCTCCCTGGTGGCTGTGGGGAGAGCTGGGGCTGCCTGTCCCTGGAGAGGGGTTGGCGAGTGTCACAAACAGGGGGCACCACCCCTAGTGTATATTATAAAAATATTCACTTCTGGGCTGAAAATTTTAGCCAGACTTATAGTTTCATGGTATAAACCTTAAAATTTGTTATGAAGACAATGGTTTGTAATGGAAAGTTTGAAAGACTAATTACAGTGTTGCTTTAGTTGTCTTATTTCAGTTTTGTTCTTCTAACAGCTGTTCTGTTATAAGGATCGGTTTGTTCGGTTTTTAATTAGTCCCTGTTGATAGTCATCTTAAAATATAACTTGGAGAATAAATTGTAAAACAAAAAATCTAAAATTTCACAAGACTTTTATTTTACTTCAGCATGTTTTGATAATAAAATCATCTTGGTCTGTTTAGGTTGTAGTCTTTTAGATTTAGGTATTCAGACTCGATACTGATACATTGCCCAAGTGATGCTTCCCATTAAACACAAATTCCTGGTTTATGACATACATGGCAACTTTGTGGATTTCTTAGTAAGCAATAGATATAACTTCATAAAATCCCTCTGATGTGGGTCATTTATATATTCGTAGTAACTTGGTTATGTTTAAAAGATGCACAGTAAATGGTAATATATGTGCAATTGATATAGTATTTTGTTTTATAGTCTCATCATTCAGAAACCTGAGAGAGGTAAAAACGAAATTGAAAGCACAAACATTTGTCTTATCTTCTACATTGCAACTATATATAAGTATAGTCATGGTAGTTTCAAATTAAAAACAAACTGAACTTACTTCAGAAAATATATTTCTTTAGGCATCCTGAAATTGAGTTTTCAAGAAAGTCCTATAAGCATGGAATTAGTGTAAATAATACTAAGGGAGGAATATGTTCCAAGGTCTGAAATTAAGATATTTATCATAATGTGAAAGAATGATGACTTTCTCGAAGATACACAGATATATTAATTTTTAATTTGTCTTTTTGATCTCTAAACTAGTGTAGAAATTTTACTGGTTAATATTAAGAAAGTGTTTGGAAGTTTTTGCAAATACTAACTTGTAATGCGTGTATGGTAATGAAAGAAATTAAGATGAGAGCTGAATTGGAGTGAATGATTGTTCAGTCATGTGGGTCAGGCTAGCTGCATAGCGTGGTTGTTAGACTGATTGCTCAGATTACATTGCCTCAGGTCCTGCGTTTGGTTGGCTGTCTTCTTAGATCTTAACAAGGTTCTGGGAATTTGTTTCTGACAAAGTTTGCTTTGTGTTATTGCAGGATGCTTCATCTGTAGACATTAGGAAAGCATATCGTAAGCTTTCACTAACTCTACACCCAGATAAGAACAAAGATGAAAATGCAGAAACCCAGTTTAGACAAGTAAGTGACACATACTATCGGAGTGGGTGGGCAGGAATAAGTTCAGAATTTGTCTGACATTACTTATTACTATCATGAATAAATACAGTTTTGATAGCAAAGTAATATTTTGAAATTATTAGTAATTTTCAAACAAGGCAAGATTATTCCTATTTTAGTTGGATTTAGTGTTGGGCAGATATCACATAAATGTTCTGAACAATCTACAGTAACTTAGATTAATATTTGAATATATCTGGTTTACAAGCATTTTAAAATATTTGTATGTATTTCTGTTAACTGGAAAACAAATTTATTATGTTTTTCTATCTGTGTAAAAGCATGCATACCAACTTTTATTAAGGGGGAAAGTATGTTTGCAAGCATACACTTTGCCTTTTAATGTAAGTTGGGAAAGAACTGCTCATCAGTCTTCATTATTAGTCATTTAATGTAGATATCAGTAAAATATGTATCTTAAGTCTTGATCATTTTCTTTTCTGAATCCTGACATTTAATTGAGCAATAGCATGTACCTGTCATTATTCAGCCTTTACCTATTCAATGTACTTCACTAAATGAAGGCTACTTGCAGTGTGGTGGTATAATTCGAGAACCTGTGCACCTTTTGAAGAGATACTATCAACTTAAAAATCACATTCTTGATGGAAATTTTTTACCTATATGAGACAAATATCATGTTAGATTAAAATGATATTTAAGAGGGAAAAATCTATTTTAACTATTTGTTTTGTGCATTGTATTTTCACAATTTCTTAGTCACTTTCTTAATAAAAGCGATGTTTTTATTTTAGTTGGTGGCTATATATGAGGTTTTAAAGGATGAAGAGAGAAGGAAGAAGTGAGTATAGTTTGCATATTTTTAAAGATCTATGATGGATGCGAGTACTATGAAGATTTATGCAAATGCTTAACTTTATGCACTTGTGAATAACCCTATTGACATCATTGACTTACAATGATTATAGTTATGCTCTATTGTGCAAAGGCTTAAACACATGCATATTTTTTATTTAGCAACAATTTAAAATAAATAAGAGATATATGTATGTTTTAGAGAGATAAGATGATTACTCTCTTCAGTTCTGAATGTTTTTTAAAAGTAATTTGAATTGGGAGGGAAATGTTCTGTTAGAACAATCTCTAATAGGTTAGTTTTTGTAGTTCTGTGTTTGTGGGTCATGTATGTGGGGATAGAGCAGTAACTTGGGTTAGTTGAGAATTACAACCCACTTTGTGCAGCTGTTAGTTCCTTCTCACTACCTAAGAACTTTCATATGATGCTTAGGTACTCTGTTGGTGAATGTTTCTAGCTTCACATATCTTTCTATTTTTCTTTTAAAAACATAAAATTATGATACTAAATTTATACATTTATAGTAGTCAGATAAGCCTAAGATTTTTTTTAAGTGATAAATAATTTTTCTGGTTTATACTAGTACCACAAAAGTTTAAGTGGTGTTTGTTCTGAGAATACCTGAAAGATAGCTTGAATGGATAGTATCTTATGTTTGGACTGCTTTCCAGAGGACTGTATTGTGCCTGAACATATAATCTGATTTAGGATATCCACTTAACCTGATAATCATTAGTTCAGCTTGGCTAAAGAAAGAGTCATGCTCCTAGCACAGGAGTTTCAGTAAAGTATCTTTAGGTTTACCGATCTCTAAACAGGGATTCTTACAACCTTCTCTTGAAAGCCTTTGGCTTTGTGGAAGTCTTGGCAGGAGTCCATGTCTCATAGTAGAGATTATCTTCTGTTTGGTAATCCTCTATTTTCAACAAGTCATGAAAATGTGTTTAAGGGAGGTTTTTTTAGATTGTGTATGTTTTCTCCTCTGCCTCCCTCTGTGGAATTTCAACTTGGAGTCACAGATCAAGGAGTTACAAAGTTTAACAATGGGTGCATGTGTCAGTATCTATTTTTAAATGGCTCTGACAGTAAGAATTAGCCTAAAATCTTATGTCATCTTGCTTTTGTGGGTTACATAATTTTAAATGTATTTCCTGTTTCACCATAGTTTAATGTTGAAAGTGTTTATCATGAAATTTGTCTTTGGAGTTCCTTAGGAATGTCCTCATATCTTAATACCATGATCTTGCTTTGCTTGCAGTTGTGATTCTGTAGCTTGACAACATTGTATTTATTTATCTAAACTGCTTTAGAAATTGATACTGTTAAATGTTGTAGCTGTTTCATATGGAATTTTTATTTCATCTTAAGGGTGCTTTGTATCAGTTAAGCTTAAGTTGATTCATTGCTAACAGTTTTTTCATATAGATATTTTTGTTTCCTAGAGAATGACTAGCCATTGTAGAGGCAAAAAGGTGGTGTTCACTTAAAAAGAGATTTCTTGCAATGGTGTGCACTTTTCAGCATAAGTTCTAGTTGTTTAGTCTCTTCTTTAGGAATCCTTTACTGAGTTGAAAAACTGAACTGACAGATACATACATAAGTAGAGGAGTATTCATCCCCCCCTTAAGGCACAACCAACACATAGGTAACTAGCTTATCTTGCTGAAAGTATCAACTAATCATGCTGTGAGTCATTCCTAGGGACATGCCTGAGGCCAGATGTCCCCCTTGCAGGCTTAAAGATCTGGGGGAGTGAGAGGAAAAGGATAATGGCCCCTCTTAGGGTTTTCTTACTCCATTGATGGGTTGGGGGATGCATTTCATAGGCTGGTGGACTGACCAGTGGTACTTAGGTAAGCCATTGTCCCTTGCAGCGTTCCCTCTATTTTTTTAATCCATGTGTGGAATACATTTTATGTGCACTGATGCATGTGTGGATGTGCACCACCAGTAGAAACAAATATTGCTTGCAGTAGGTACTCTGCTAATCAGCTGGGCCACATTCAAATTTCTCCTTGCCTCCCAGGCGCTCAGCTTACTGTAAGCACTGGCCTTGTATGCTTAGGAGAGTATAGGTAAGATCTGTCCCTCCAAGGCTATGTCTAGATTGCAAGCCTCTTTCGAAAGAGCCTCTTTCGAAAGAGAGCGTCTAGACTGCACGGAGAAATTTCGAAAAAGCGGCTTGCTTTTTCGAAAGAAAGCATCCAGTGAGTCTGGATGCTCTCTTTCGAAGAAGCCCTATTTACATTGAAGAACGCCTTCTTTCGAAAGAGGAACTTTCGAAAGAAGGCGTTCTTCCTCGTAAATTGAGGTTTACCGCCATCGAAAGAAAAGCCGCGTTCTTTCGAATTAATTTCGAAAGAACGCGGCTTGAGTCTGGACGCAGGGGAAGTTTTTTCGGGAAAAGGCTACTTTTCCCGAAAAAACCCCTGAGTCTGGACACAGCCCAAGTGATCCCTCTCCCTTTTCAGTTCCCCCATCCAAGCCCTACAATTAGCATTGGAAGAGTTTATGTGTGTGAGTGGGTTTTTGGTTGATTGTTTTTTTGTCTGCTGTGGGCATTATGCTGGTTATATTTTGGGGAATTTTCCCTCCAACATCGGCAAGTTGTCTGTAGGCACCATGGATTATTTTACTTCCCCACATCCGATCACACTTGGTCCAATAGGTGTCAGAATTTAGCAGATAGCAGGTGACCTTGTTGGTGGTACTTGTGCCATAGGAAATCTGGATCACTGATTAAACCAAAAGCAATAGTGCATGTTATGGGAAGCTAGCCCCTAAAGTAGCTGGGTAAAGCTGGTACAGCAAGACCAATCCCCTTTTCTCAACCCTTTAAACTTGAAGCCGCATAGAAGGGGTAGGTGGTCAGGTCCCAGCAATGGTCTAGGACCAGGTATGGGTGACAGTTGTTGGCAGCCCTAAAGCAGATGGAAACAAAGAAGCAAAGGTGACCTCTATTGTATGAGTCACTGCAAGGTAGTTCCAAGACGAGTTAAGTTAATGAAGTTGCTACCTAATTAAACCACACTCCTTTCATCTTTTCTTTTTCCTGCATATCTAGGACTATGATTGAGTGTACAGAAAAAATAGTTACACTTTTACGGAACAAATCAGTGGAGCAACACCTTTTAGCAGGATTTATTTAAAAAGGAATCTTTCACTTTAAACACATAAAGCTAGGCATAATTTATATTTTTATTCTCTGTCATTTTGGAGTATAAACATGCCTTACAGAATTACAATTTACTAGTGGTAATATTTTATAAGAACAGTAAATAAAAACCTATTTGTCTTATCCAGAAAGGCCCACTCTACCAGTAGAGTATACTACTTCAGCTATTAATACTTCATATTTTCCTTTTTGATTTTAATAGTAGTTTAAATATGTATGTAATATGCATTAAAATATTTACTGTATGTATAAGCTGTATGCCCAGTGGTACAGTGCACAGAGCCCTTGATGTAAATTAATCCCTGTGAAAGTGTTATGTCCTAGATTGGATCTTGCATAGGCTTCCTGTGCTGGACGGAATTTCACCCAATAAGATTTATGTTGGGTAAAATTACAAGCTAAACTCATTGATAATCATTACTTCAATTTTAATTTGTGAAGCAAATGTATGCAATTTTGAACAGATTTTTTTCCATTACCTATATTTAAGTAAATGTCTTCATAAATTTAAATATTTGTGTTTTTAACTAACTTTTGGTTTATAAAGTCCACTTTCTGTAACATCGTGATTTCCATTATTGCAAATATTCATGTGTGAATCAAAATTAAAAAGCATCCTTGTAACATTTAATGAATATACATTAGCACTTCTTTTTGTAATCGTATGGCTTTATATGTAGCATATGGAAAGTATAAAGAATTCTTGACTATATGTGTATTACATGTTGCCATTGATAGTTTATGGAAAACTGCTGCTTTTTCTAAGATTTAGATTTTAAATTTATAAGATCTCATTACTTCATACTTGTTTATTGTCCCTTTTAAAATCTACATTAGGTCTCTGAAGTAATGTGTGAAATGTGAAGTTTTGTGGGCTTTATAAAAATGTAAACATTTTATTATATGTTTGTAAAATAGCTTAATTATATTGTAATTTTGAACATAGCTACGTAGATTAATTGATTTTCTTGCACTATAATAAAATCTAAAGTTCTAAAACGTATAACTTGAATGTTATAGGTAGGAGAAATTATGAATTTTCATAACTGGTTCTTAATGGTGGTACTAAATTTTAAATTCATGTTTTTTATAAAAGTTTTACTGTCATTATGAAGTTTATTTTCTTGTGCTGTGATTCAATTACTTCCTAATATTTATTTTCCGCTATTAGTTGACGTTTATTTCAAAGCACACACAACTGCTGGGCACTCTCATTTGCCTTATACCAGTTGCTTTATGCGTGCTTGTATACATTTGAGGGCAGTGGAAAATAGGGTGGCTAGATCAGATGAAATTGTGCAGGAAGTAGAGGTAAGAAGTAGTAATTTAAAATAGGTTGATGCTTAGTAAATTAATTTTGAATATGATTTTCTTTGCTGCTCATGATTTGACTATCATTCATAGCTAATCATTTTTGTAAATAAGTACTTTGCTGAATAATTTGCATGCTTATTAATTAAACAGTGTCTTAAATGTGGAAAACAAAATGCAAGTTATGGTAGACTTCTGAGGAATTCTGCCATTGTTCATTTGTAACTCTAAAAATTATCGTGAAAGCATTTTTCAAATACACTGTTTAGTTTCTTTCAATGGTATATATTCTAAAAAGTGTTTATAACAGAAGCTATCTTCCTTTAAAATGGCCAGTCGTGTGAGCTATAATGTTCATTGATAGTAAAATCAATAGAGCATTGATTCTAAGACCTAATCCTCGGAGACTGTTGTTCGGAACACTAGACATAGCCTAGTAAGTAGGTGTACTGTTTAGATTGTTTAATGTATAAAATTCTGCTGTCTTAAATTTGGTTGTGTTAAAAAGGATTTATATATCATGAAGATAAGATTGCATTGTTGATACTCATAACAATATGGGAAAACAAATATTTTATCATAACTTACTTGTTTTCCCCTTACTAGCAGATAATGTAGGTCTAGTAGCTAATATAAAATATTTAGTAAATTAATAGTAATGTAGGAAAAGACTTCTATCCTTTTTCCTCCCACCTCCATATGTCTTTGAAAGCTTTAAATTGATGGTACACACGAACATAATATTTTGTTAGCAGATTTTTTTTCTAAAGTAAAATTATCCACAGTATTAGTTGCAAGTAATCATTTTGCTCCCAAAATATTTTTCTTGTATTTCAGTTCTAAACCATTTAGTAAGACTAGAATGCATTGTGATTTTTAAATTTAAACGTGGGTTAAAGTGGTGGAGTTTGCTTGGTTTGGTCTTGAAATATGCAGTGTTCTATCCTCTAGTAGTTTAGATTTAAAATGTAATTTCCTAAACTAAGTGCTGAGTAGGGTTTTTTCCTTAAACAGATTATATTGCCTCATATCTTACACTAATTTATTATGAAGGAAGAAAAGAGTTATCCTAAACTCAGAATTTACATTTCTGGATATTAATCTTATAAAATTATGAAAATGTAGATGAAGACAGTTTCATTGTAAATATCTTATTTAATATGTAAGCATAGAAGTCATCTGAATCTTGTGCTTTAAACCTTTTCCCTAGTAAATTACTAATATCTCCTGCCTTGAATAAATGGTCATTTATCAGAAGTCAAATTTTCTAGATTTGTTGAATTAAATATATTTTGCACTTAAACCCGTGTTTTTCCACTAAAAAAAAGTTGCCAACAATAAATCTTCATTTTTTTTAAATTTTGTAGTACATCTCCAAGGTATCAATTTAATAACTATCAAAGTAGCTACTGCAGTTGTTGCATTTAAATTGATTTACATGTCAAGACTGGCAGTTTAGCAGCTGCGCTATTATTCCTGGATCGGTCAATTTACTTGAGAAAAACCTACTACTGAGTTCTACTGACCTGCATGACAATATAGGCCCTATTTCTATTCCTGTAATTAGGCCTGCGACTAACTCAGAATATTTTTAATTAAAATATTTTGGTCAATGTGTTGCACCAAATTAGGCCTTTCAGTGCAGATTTAATTCTAGAAATGGTGTGATTAGAATATGTAATGAGTTGTGTTCAATTTAAGATTAACAGGTTGTGTATCTTGAACATACAGTATTTGAATGTGACTATTTTAAGTTTTATATTATAGCTTTTTCCAAAGTATATTAAATACATTAATTGGCAAAAACTGTTTATGCTAAAATACTTTGAGTAAATGTGGAAAAATAAGCTGACTGTTTTGTTCAGATGGCTTTTGTATTACCGTAATAAAAGAGCATAACCTTAAAATAAATTGAATAGTTAAATGTGAGAAGGTTAACTTTTCAATAGCAGTCTTTAGAAATAAAGTTGCTTGGATCCTGTGAACCTTGATTTTTAGCATCATAAGCAAGAGTTTAATTAGAAGGGTTATTACATTGCACATGCATTTTACTCTGTAATGGAAGTTGACATAACACAATAAAGAAAAACATGAGCAAAGACATTTTACCTCATTATTCATATTTTTAATTAGTAAAACACTTAAATAATTGCAACTTTGTTCCTTGCAGTCTCACATTTGTTATTTTTCTTGTCCACTTATATCCTGAGCACTTGACCATTGATTGATATGATGTAGAACATACATTCTACAGCAAGCCCGGTTCACAAGTGAATCAGACGGGGATGCTGTAGGAACAGTATTTTACCACCTTTTCTGCAAGACATGGAAAACATTTCAACATCATGCTGCTTTGAATTCTGTCTATGCCCACATCATTGCTGGTATTTCAGAAATGTTATATGATGATGATGATTTTATTTAATCTTGTGGATTGTTGTGGTAATTTCTGTCTTTAACATGAATTGGGTAGGTTTATTTCATTTTAAACTCTCCATGAAAGCTGTTATATTTGCTACTGTAGGTATGATGATATTCTGATCAATGGACTACCAGATTGGCGACAGCCTGTATTCTACTACAGGCGGGTGAGAAAAATGAGCAATGCTGAGCTGGCATTACTGTTGTTCATTATTCTCACAGTGGGTCATTATGCTGTGGTTTGGTCAATCTACCTGGAAAAACAGTGGGTAAGTATTAGTAATAAATCAAATGCAGTATAATCATTAGTTTATTTGAAATACTTTGCAAAAGTTTCCAAATAGGGATTTTTACTATTTGTCATTTTTCCATTAAAATTTGTGTTCTGATATATAAAATGTGATTAATTCAGTGGCACCTTACATACTAAGCTTTATTTGGCCATAAGCTTTCATGGGCAAAGACTTCAAGTAAGTCTTTGCTCATGATTGCTTATCTCCAAATTCTTGTTTTTGCAGATACAGACTAACATGACTACCCCTCTGTAAGCTGTATCAGTAGCAAAGATTTTATTAATTAGTTATATGTTCTAGATTCAAAAGTCAAAATGGAATTATTTTATATGGATGTAATACAAAATTGAATTTCTTGTATAGCTACTGATGACAATTAGTGAATAAGAGGAGTTTCTCTAGTTTCCAGAGGAACGAAAGACAACAGACACTTTCTCTATCGTATGTCGAAGCATAAACATGACGTTCCAAGGTCATGCTTTTGGTCTTCGCAAGTACTGGTTGTCTCTGGTCTTGATTTTCAGAATTCATACTCACTTTGGCTTTTCCTCTTACTGGAAGTTTTTCTAAATTAAAACCCTATAAATATTTTCATGTCAATTAGATTAACAGTCAAAGCTAAAACATTTCTTTAGTATTTATTTATTTCCCTCCCACCCCTACTTATCTTTGAAAGTTTTTGCTGCTACAAGTGAACATAAGATAGAAAGCAATCAGTTTTTGTTTATAATCTTAAAAAACATAATTGAACAGTATTCACATATTGGCATTTATTTACTCTTTTTATTTTCCAAGCTACATTATTAAAGTTGCTGAATGAGAAAGGAGGCAAGTTGAATGCTTTCTCTTCTTAGAAAACTTTGATTGCTATGGAGATACACATGACTGACAGAGCTGGACTTCATGTGTGTTTAAGGACTGGATGCCATGGCAACAGTTATTGTTAAAGATAGATGATTTTACTTAATCGTGTACGACCCTAGATATATTTGCATAAATGCTACTCTAATGTTTATCCTTCACACAAGAGTTCCAGTAACATTCATAGAGTACATGTTAATGATAATTATAACCGTAATTCTTTCTGCATTAAGGGTGAACTGCTTAGCAAAAAAAAGAGAGACAAGAAGAAAAAAACAGGAAGCAGGAGTGCAGATGAAGTAAAACTTGGTCCTGCTGACAAAAATGAAAGGTGGGAACCCTTACTAGTGTATTTTCACATTTAAATGATTTTGTCAGAGCTCTACTTCAGCTGCCAGCTTAGTTGATCAAATGTTTTACATTCAGTCTATATTCTTGTATGTGGTGCATCCACAGTGAAAGACAATCTTTTAAATTTATGAGAACATAGCAAAACTGGCAATGTGTACTAGGATTGTGATTTATAAATATTCAGTGAGGCTTTGGTATGAGTTTGTAATATGAAATGTGGTTATGTGGAAGATCCACAGTAGTTGTAAAACAAAGAATGTATTAAGTGTAGTTTATTTGTAGTAGGATGCATTTGGCTTAAAACATTTTTATAAGAAGTTTATTATAAGCTTTTCCACTGAAGATTGAAATTAGGTTAAAAGTGTAAACTAATAAATTCACTGTTACTAAGTCTTTAATGGATTGGTCTGTAAGTGCTGAAATTTTGAAGGTTTTTTAATCTGTGTCATTGTTTGATTCACATAGAAACATTAGTAAAGGATTCTGACACTGCTTAGTTAAGAAACAACATAGGAAGGTAGTGACATCAAGTGTACTCCAAAAGATACCACCATTTCTTCTATTGATTCATAGAAAGAAATAAAGGGTTTAAATAGTTCACACAGCAGGGGCATGAACTGGATCAATGCAGGATGGAGATCAGAGACTATTGTGCCTGTCTTCTATTCTGATGACATCAGTGAGTAATGCTTCAGTGAACTGCAAACGACATTAATTTTTATGTATTGGTTTATTTATGCTACCGTCTTCATATTTAGTTGTCAGGACATGTGAACACTTTGGTGATGGTAGTCTTTTTTAGCTGATGTGATCATGTAAGCCTTAGGAATTTATTTTGTGTAACTGAAGAAAAGCCCTTGTTAAAAGAAGATTAAAAATATAACAATAGAAGAACATTGTCTAAATCTAGTTTTGATTCTTTGATTATATGTTTAATGGCTTCAATATTCATGATGAATATTTTGCATTAATGTTTATGCACTTTCACAATGGATTGATAAGCATTTTGAATTTTACTTCTAATTTGAGGCTGTAGGAAAGTTTGCTGATTTTTGTAAACAGGTATATTGTGTATGAATAATGTATATTGTGCAAGAATGAAAATGTATTTTTAATATTTAAAATAATTTTACTTTATTGTAGATCATTGGAAAAACCACAGTGGCGTGATTTACTTCCATGCAAGCTGGGAATTTTGTTCTGTCTTACTATAAAAGCATTACCTCAGCTGTTGCAGGTAAAATACAATTTGCACACCACTTTTTATAGGATTGTTTTGATGGTTTCATTATGCTGTGAACAAACACACTGTTGCTTGTTCATATGATTTTTCTGTCTTCAGAAGCACAGATAAGTTATTATTTTAAGGATATTTAAATGCTCATCTAAATGTGAATATATATTTCTAAAGTGAATATTTTGTTTAATATACTGTATTGTTCGGATAGTAGTTCTCTCATTAATTTGCACTCATATTTATAAACAGGCAAGACATTAAGAACTAACTGTTCAAGAATAAGTAGAAAAGGAAGGTGAAAATTACATGTATTTTAGGAAAAAGAAGCAGTGTGTTGAAATAAGCTGTAAGTGATAATAGTTAATTATAGTTTAAGTGTGTATATAAAATATACAGTATTTGTTATATTATGTATTAATATCCTGTTCAAATTTATTAGGAAACAGAAATAAATTGATGATGGCTTTTTTTCTGCATGGAGTAATTTTAGTTTTACCCTTTTCATTGGCAACTGATATCCATCTTTCCCTCAAATTAATCTGTAATTTTGTTCTAATGACTGAGGATTTGTTAACCTTCTATTATCAGCTTTTGCATATAAATCAGATTTTAAGGTAGTACAGTTAGTACTTTGGAGCAGGGGAGAAATCAGGAAAAGCAAAAATTAATATTAGCATGGGAACTTAAATTTGGCCAGCCTGTCTGTAAACAGTATTTTCTTACACTTTTTAAAAAAAGTGTTCAACAATAGTCTTGTTTGTTTAAGGCATAGTGTAAGATACGCAAATATATAACATCATCTATATAGCAACTATAGAGATAAAATACCTTCTTACATAATATATTTTTACACTCTGTGAGGTTTTCTTTTGGTTATATATGCTTTAGTAAATACAAAAAAAGGTGGTTGCACTTTTTATTATTATTGTTAGCCTTATTAATTCTGTAGGATTGTTATAAATGAAGGAAAGAAAGCAGAATAGATTTTGGCTTACACCTCATCAATATAATTCTTAACTTAGGCACCATTGCTGGAACTGTTTCCATGCATAGAATATTGAGGTTTCATTTGCATGCAGTTACCTTTACAAGAGCAGCACATAAAACAATCAAGAAAGCAAAACAATGAATTGGTTTACCTTTTATTAGATATAAACTTACTAAGGAAGTTGCTGAGACAATAAAAATGGATCTCCAGGACTGCCATTTGTAGTGCCTTTTTTAGGGACAAATTCTCTTGAATGTTAGTCGTAGACATCTTAACTTCTGTAATTTCGTATTTTATACAAAAATAATGGTATAGTTTTGATTTTGAATTAAAATAGATTTTTGTTAATTGTCTTGTTTTAAAGAAAATAATGGCCATGCTTTATTAAGGTGACTTCTTGTTCACAATTGGACTTTGAAGTTAATAACTCATTTTGGTGAACAAGTTGAGGGAAGAATGAATTCACAGATTGCTGATGCTATTTGTTGACAATTTGCTGTATTAGTTTACAGGACAGTAGCACCACTTATCGTTTTTTATTATTTTCTTCACAAATATATAGATGATTTTTTTTTCTGGTGGAAGCATTGAATTTGTAAAACATTGCAGAATGTAATAAAAATTATGGAGGCCTGAAAATTGGGGATTTACAACATTTTTGTGTCTATAGTTTTCTCTTGGTCTTGACATTGACACAGTTTGGTTTGTTTGGATTTTTTGTTTGATAAATAATTTACAATTTCTCCAATCCTTTTTCAAGGGCAATTCCAACACCTGTCAGACTGGACAGAGAGAGGAATATTTGTTTGAAAGGATGATATATTGTCATTAAATAATGTTAAAAAATCTTTTATATCTACTGAACATGCCCTAGTTACTTTTTTCAGTCATGTAACTTTACTGTCCAACAGACTATTCTTAAACTTGGCTAGTGATACTCTATAATTAATTAAAGCTCCATTTCTATTTGAATTAACTGTGTGTAGGTGAGAAAGCATTGCAAATGTTGCCCATTCCACTCACTATTTTCACTCTTAAGCCTTATTTACTACAGATAGCTAGCTGAACAGATTGTCCTCAAATTTAAAAAATGAATAAATTTTTTCTGATACCAGACAGCTTCATGCCCAAAAGAGGCTTTAAAGAAAGTTAAAGCAAGATAATAATTAAGCTTGCAAAATAGTTTCAAGCTAGTGTTTGCTTTAAAAAATATTTATTTTTGAGATGGGGCATGTCAACATTCTACTTGCCACAGTTCTATCCACTTAAATTATTCAGATTGCAAGGATGTTATGAATGTTTAATTTTAATTTATCCAACTGAGTGTCTTCCTCCCCTTTCCTCCTTAAAAAAATATCAAATTTGAGAAGGAGGCACTTAAAATAATTAAGGTGGGCCTTTGCTTGAGAGAGATGCTTTGTTTGCATGTCCTTGGAATGGTCTATGTCATTTTATTATACTCTGCTTTTTTGCATCATGGTGTTAAAAGAAAAATTAAAGCAAGATGTGTGAGAGAAATGTAGAACTTTCAAAACTGAATTATATAAGAGATATTTTATTTTTAATATTTGGGGAACATGATTTAAGAGGAGGAAGAGGAACAAGATGGATTTTCATAGTTTTGCCTATGAGGTTAGTAAATTTAGGGGAGGTGAAAGTAAAGAAAACTAAGTTTTAAAAAATAGTAATTGTAGGATGGGAGCTTGTTGAAAGACATGATGGTAACCAAGTTGATAGTCTAAGCCAAATCAGGGTGTTGCTTTTTTGTGAATATAGTTTGAAACACTTAAACATCAACTTGAATTATTCAGTGTAATTTGTACTATAATAAAATGTATGATTTGTATTTTACTATGAGAATACAATAAATGGTTTAGGTATGAGACACATAAATAGGGTACATATTTGTTATTCGGGCCATTTTTGTTGATTATTTTAAATGAAGGAAGGAAGATTGTAGGTAGCTTTTTTTTTTTCTTAAAAATAAACAGACAAAACAATCCCCTTTCGCAATACAGCTTAGAGATTCAAAAGTCAAGCTTGTAAACAAAAGAATGAAACTGCTTACTAGTGTGTGAGTATCGTAGTCTAAATCAGAAGTGTAATTCAGAGAGACACTTGTGTTAATTACAAATTTTAATGATCTTTGTGTGGTACTAAAGCAGACATATCTGTGAATAGACTGATTTTTAACAAAAAGGTGACTGACGGTTTCTGTCTATAGATGAAGACATACAACTTAAAGAAACTCTTTTGCTGTTTCTTAAAGCTGCTCACTATCCACTCTTTATTCTCATTGTTGCTTTTAGATACCTGAAAAATAAAGGTGTTCTCTATTAAGCCAATTTTTTTAGAGCAAGTATTCTTGTCTTTTCTTCTATATTCCTTGAAGTGGAAGCTTAAAAATTAGTGTGTAAGTCTTCATTCTGTACTAACTTTGTCAGCATAGCACTAGGAAACATTTTTGTTAGTTAATTTGTCATGTTGCTGCTTGTCTTCCTATAATGAAGGAAGCATTTTTGTCTGGTTTCTCCAGAAATGGACTCTTGTAAAGAAAATGGAATTCTCCTATTATCTGCAGAATAATGATACAAGCTTCACTGAATATTTCCATTAATAGGTTGTTGGAAAGTCTAGTGATTCTCCAGTGGTGAGGAGTTCTTCAGTCTCCATATATATTTGCACTGAATGTAACCTATTGAGATTGTCAACAAGGTTTCTAATTATGATGGTGACTTTTGGAACTAATTTCAATTTAAATGATTTCTTTGCAGACAAAATAAAAATTACCACTAAATTAATCTATGTAGACAATGTATAATAGTGAGTTACTATCCTAGATTCAGTGTAATTAAGCAGTGAGCAAGATGTATTTAATTTCTTAGCAATACAGTGTTGAATTAAAAGAAAAATCCAGGAGAAAATTTTCACTGTATTTAAACAGTTTTTTTAAAGATAGTCCTGTTCTTTCCCCAACAGGTCAGAAGTATTTTGTTGATCACAAAAACCTATACTAAAAAGCATTTTGTCTTTGGCAAAAATTGTCATATTTCCTTTGTTTTGTGATCTAATCAAATGTTTTGTTGTGTATTTCCTACATTTCAGTTTAATATTTTACTTTAATATCAAATGTATTGCATCTATAATATTTAAATAACATAAAAACACATGGGCTTTAACAGAGGGAACTTGCAAGCATAAGTTTTTAACCTTTAGAAAACTATTTAATTCCTAGGAGGATGACAACTGGGACCTACCTAGTTTTCTAGAGTTTTAGGATCTCTAGTACTGGAACGCTGCACTTATTAAGAAAAGTTCCTAGCTTCTGCAAGATAGGGAAGGGCGAGATGTGTCACAGAATGGGTGAGCATTTATCCTTCCTGGAACCAGACAAAATAATTTTGTGGCCCTGGGTACTATGGGAATTAGGGACCTCCTCTTACTTAAAGTGCATCTGTCCATAGATACCCCACATCACATAGACATCCAAATACCCCTTCTGTCTCAGCAACCCTCCATCTGCCCCTAGTATGCCCCATACATATCCCAGGAGGCAGGGCATGCATTTGACTAACTGCAATCTGCAACGTGTTATCTTTACCAGTAGTCCCCAGTATCCCAGCTCTCAACCTATCTGACCCTTCAACATCACCAACTGTCCCTCACTCTGTAGCCCTCTAACAATTCTCATTCAGATCACAACCTACCAACAGCTTGCCCCAGCTTCTCGCCTCCTGACCTTCCTGGCCATTCATTGGTGCAGGTCTTCGCTCAGGTCTTGAACCAGCATCCCATAGCTCCTATCAATCCCAGCTCCGCAGATCTGCTGACTTCCTTTGCTTCCTATGCCTTTCATGAACTTCATGGCATCTGAGCTGCCCACTGTCAGGACAAATTTGAATGAGTGATGGTGTGAACAGTGACAGATTCTCAGTGCTGCCCTGGTTTTGTGTTTTTTGGTGTGTCCCCCCCCCGCAAGTGCGCTGAGTGCATACCAGTTAACCTGTGCCTG